CAGGGATATCAGAGTATAAGGGCTCTAGTTGGGGGAGAGAGGCTATGGGAGGGCGCTACCTGGGAAGTGGGTGTATAAATAAATAAAAGAAGAAAAAAAATAATTCTTGAAAGCATAAAATTTGCTCCTTAATAATTAGTAGATATGAAAAACATTACCTTTGAAATCTTCCTGATGACTTTATATCCATGCTCAGATGCCAAGGAGCTCAGAAAGTAACCGACTGTGACTAGTAATAATCAGATATATAGAGACCAGAAACGTATGTGCATCTTAGTGTCAATTATATTAAAAATGAATTTTTCTGTATGTAACTGTGTATTTTAATAATGAAATGGAGATCTTTTTTAAAGTTTAAAACCTCATTTAATTTTATGTCTTATAGGGTTTATACTGAGTACAATATTGTATAACTGTAATAATTCAACTGTAAACCTAAAAATTTACAGCCAATTTTGAAAGAGATGCATCTTAGCTCTGGAAATTGTTATTGAATATGTCAGTGCTGTTGTAATGAAATGCTTCTTCTAATTATATGATTATTAAATAAATAATTTTTAAAAAAGCACCACCTACTTTACTGTCATGAGGAATAAGTGAAGTAACTAATACTGAGAGCCTAAATGTAACAAATGCTACACTACAGGAGTTTAGCAAAGAATGATACTATGGGTCCTAGTCAGTGCTTCAAACTACAATCATTTCTACCTGTCCACTAATCCAAGAGAGTATAAGCATTTGTAAGTATGGTTGTTTCAAACACTTCTTCATATCTGCTGATTGCCCAGCAGTGTTTCTGTGCAGTATTCCATATAGTTATGTTCCTACAGATTGGTTGTTCTTGCTCCCTTCAAAATTCACGTTGAATCTGAATCCTCCACTGGACAGTAATTAGAAGCATAGAATTTAGGAGGGGATGGTCATGAATGGAAATAAGCCTTAGTCCGGAGGGAGCTGCCCTTCCTCCCTGTCCTGCTTTGTTTCTTCATTGCTGTGACAAAACACTCTGACCACTACGAACTTGGGGAGGAAAAGGTTTATTCAGCTTACATCTCCCAGGCTGCAGTTCATCAGGGAGCCCAAGGTAGGAACTCAGGGCAGGAACCTGGAGGCAGGAGCTGGAACACAGGCCATGGAGGAATATGCTGCTTACTGGCTTGCTCCCCTGACCCCTGATCAGCCTGCTTTCTTATGCAAGAGATGCCCACCTGCCCAGGGGTGGCACTACCCGCAGTGGGCTGGGCCCTCCCACACCCCTCCACAATCAAGAAGGCCCCACAGATATGACCACAGGCCAGTCCAATGAAGGCAGTTTCCCAATTGAGGCTCCCTCAACCCAGGTGTGTCAAGTTGACACTAAAGCTATCCAGCACACTGCCCTTCCTTCCACACCAGGAATGTCCCTCTGGAGGACACAGCAGCATGGCACCATCTTGGAGGGACAGCCCTCACCACTCATCAATTCTGCTGCAACCGTGATCTTGGACTTCTCAGCTTCCAGAATTGTAAAACACAAATTTTTATAAGTGAACCAGTCTGTGGTATTTGTCATATAACCACAGTTAGGTAGTTTACTCTAGCCTAGAGTTTTAAAAAAAATTTATTATTATTTTATGTGTATTCATGTATTGCCTGCATGTAGGTAAGTGCCCCCATGTTGTGCAATGCCCACGGAGGTCAGAAGAGGCTGTCGGAGCCACTTGAACTGGAGTTATGGACAGTTGTTAGCTGCCATGTGAGTGCTGGGATTCGAACCCGGGTCTTCTACAAGAACAGTCAGTGTTCTTAACTGCTGAGCCATCTCTCCAGCCCTCGAGCCTAGATTTTAAGTATACATAAATATAATAATTATTCTTAAACGTTGTCTTAGGACCGATCACTCAGTCAGTGAATGATTGCCATGCTAGCATTATGACTTGGGTTCAAGTCCCAGAACCTACACAGAAGAGCCAGGTGTGGTGGTGCATGCTCGTAATCTTAGCACAGGGAGGTGAATACAGGTGGAGTCTAAGGCCAGTGGCCAGCCAGTCTAGCCTAATAAATATTAGGGTTCCAAAGAGCAGCAGCTTCCCCTGCTCCCCAACAGGGACCTATGGACTTTCGAAGCCCGAAAAAGGGAACTGACCTGAGAAGCACCTTGGCCTTTGAAGTCAAGGAAAACAGACTCTGCTAAGAAGCAGCCTGCCTTTCCTCTGATCTCCAAAGACAATGTAAGCAGATTCTACCTGTTAACCAGAGATTTTAGGAGCTGTTTAACACAGCAGCTTTTCCCTTATCTTAAGAGGACAAAAAAGTAAACACTTCCAGACCCAGATCCTGGCTGGCAGACTGAACGGAGCCAAGTTTACAAGCCCTGCTTTTCCTGCTTTCCCCTACTTGATTTTTCCCAAAAACTTCCCCTCCTCCTGCACCCTGAAGCCCCTGTACATAAGTCCCAGCTCACAACCCATGGGCTGACATTTTTCCCTTCCCCAAGGGAAACATGTCCTGTGCGAAATAAAGCTGTACCCACTGAGAGTTCTATCTGTGCCTTGATGCCTCATCCTCCATACCCTCGCTCTCTGCCAAAACTTTTACCTATCAATAAAGAGCTCCAGGCCAATGCGAGACCCTGTTTCCAAAAACAAGGGGGATGGTAGTAGAGGAATAACAAATGATACTGACTTCTGGCATGCGTACATTCATGCACACACACGTGCAGACACCCATGCACACATTTACACACATACATATACATGAATACATTTATTAAATGTTACTTTATTCAAGGATATATTATGTGTTAATATCTTTTGCAAAATGCATGGCAGTATTTTACTTATTCTTTATTGCATGTTGAAGAATTTGGATCAAAAATTAAAATCAAACAGAGAAGATCGTATGTCTGAAATCCCAACATTCAGGAGACTGAGTTAGAAGGATCCTGATTTAGAGGTCAGCTTGGGCTACATGGCCATGTCCTCCCTCAAAGAAAAATGGAAGTCCTTGGGCTTCTGTGCATAAGAGGATTGTGTTTATGTTTTCCAGTTATCCTTCCGGTGGTTTGAAAACCCCAAGTGCTTCTTTCCAGCATGTTCTGTCTTCCAAACCTTAAGAGGAATCTGTAGGCTGTAAAATAACAACAGGAAGATGACTAAGTCCCTCCTATTCACCCCAGTGTTTGAAGAGACACATCACTACCATTCCCTGTTAACAATGTTTACAGCCCTGCACAAATGCTTAAGTTTGAATTTTAAAATCACAGCCAAAATTCTATATCTGCACACAATTATCACCCCAGGCATCACTATAATCTCTATGTGGCATAAATAGCATTGGTTAGTGTTCATGCATGTATTACATAAATTCTTTCACTATTACTCTTCTGGTTTAACATCTCACACTCACACTGACTGGCTGACTAAGTATTTGTAATTGATCACTTTTTAGAATTGAAATGTTTGGGAGATAACTCTAAATAAAAATATAAGCATCACTTACTGTCATGAGGTAACTAATACCGAGAGCCCAAATGTAAAAAAAATGCTACTCTTGTTGGCACACACCTTTAATCCCAGCACTTGGGAGGCAGAGGCAGGCAGATCCTTGTGAGTTCGAAGCCAGCCTGGTCTACATAGTGAGTTCTAGGATAGCTGGGGCTTCAAGGAGACCCTGTTCAAAAAGACCAAAAAAAAAAAAAAAAAAAAAAAAAAAAGCTACATTAAAGCTACATTACAGGAGTTTAGCAAAGAATGATACTATGGGTCCTAGTCAGTGCTTCAAACTACAATCATTTCTACCTGTCTACTAATCCAAGAGAGTATAAGTATTTGTAAGTAGGGTTGTTTCAAACACTTCTAGTATTACAAGCTTGTAATATATTCTTTTAAATTTTTTGATGTATTTATTTTTATTCTATGTGTACAAGTGTTTTGCCTGCATGTATAAATCACATGCACACAATGACCTTAGAGGCCAGAAGAGGGCATCGGATCCCCTAGAACTGTAGCCCCAGCTGGCCTGGAACGCACTATGTAGCTCAGACAGGCTTCAAACTCACAGAGATCCACCTGCTTCTGCCTCCCGAGTGCTGGGATTAAAGGTGTGGCAGTACATGGCTTTAAGACTAGAAATGTAGAAGAACACTTGATAACTTTTTGCTTGTATAATTTCCTTCAGAAAGGAATATACTAGAAATAATTCATGGGAAATAATTAGGTATGTATGGTGATAGAACATGTCTTACATTTTTATATTTATATTGTAAACTGGGTTGTAGAGTTAGCAAAAAAAATTTCAAAAGCACTTGAAAACTTTGTGTTTTCCCACAAGGTTAATACATACTACGAGAAAACATGCAAATTGCTCTTACCATGGCACGCTTACTGTTTTCAATAGTTTGCCTCCATTTATGGCTTAAAATTGTCCAGGCCCAGGTTGGCTTATACTGCCACAGATATGCTATGAATAAGCCAGGTTGAAGACAAATCCAAACCTCCTTCAGATTGTTGGCCATGGAGATTAGCATCAGCCGGACACAGCGACTAGTTGCTATCTTGGGTATATTCTGTGTAGTATTTCCTATAGTCTAAAAAAGTTTAAAATGAAATAGATGGTAAATATTTACCAAGCCATTTTAGTTTAGAAACTTTAAGATAGAAAGGACCTAAAGGCTGTCTACCAGTGGGGCTCATTCAATGTGGAGCCTCATACCCATTAAGAGTCTCCATAGGTGGGGGCTAGAGGGACAGCTGGGCAGTTCCTCTAAGAGCACTGGCTGCTCTTGCAAAGGACCTGGATTTGAATCCCAGCACACACATGTCAGCTAACAACTGTCTATAACTCCAGTTCCAGGGGATCTGACACCTTCTGACTTCCGCAGACATTGCATGACATGGGTACTTGCATATAGGCAACACACTCATACACATAAAATAGAGCAAAAATAATGAAAATTAAACAAAGAAGTGTCTTCATAGGTGCTGGTAGGATTCATGAACTTCTATGATATTCCAAAAAGCTTCACAGGAATCATATACTCAGGAGAAATTGTACCAGTTATTGTGACTACATCATCTTAGAGTGCCTAATGATTATTATCACTTCAAACTGAAATCATATTATAAAAATCTCACAAAAATGAAATCTCACAAAATAGTCTATGATGATGAAATGGAAGAAGATACGAGGGATTTCCTTGCTAGTGACCAAACTATTGCACAGTAGTAGACATGATGGTGAATTATAGCTGTTGTCATAGCAAGTTCACTAGCCTTACGAAAGCTGAAAGCCGAGACTGGAGAGGTGGCTCAGTTGTTAAGGGGCCTAGCTGTTCTTGCAGAGGACCCAGGTTCAGTTCCCAGCACCCTCATGGCAGCTAACAATTGTCCTTAAGGCCAGTTCCAGGAGGTCTGACACCCTCTTCTGACCTCTGCGGCACTGCAAGACACAAGTACACTTACATGCAGGTCATATACTCATAAAACAAAATTAATAAATAAAATATATTTTTTAAAAGTTGAAAGCCAGGGCTAAAGAGATGGCTCAGCAGTTAAGAACACTGCTTGTTCTTGCAGAAGACCCATATTCGAATCTCAGCACCCACATGGCAGCTAACAACTGTCCATAATTCCAGTTCCAGGGGACCCAACAGCCTCTTCTGTCCTCCGCGGGCATTGCATGACACAGGTGCACTTACAAGCAGGCAATACACACATACACATAAAACAAAAATAATAAATAAAATATTTTTTAAAGTTGAAAGCCAAGCATTGCCATCTAGTTTTGACATATTTTGTAATACCAGGAGTTAAGTTATATGAATAATTAATATGTATTTCTCACGTAAAACCTTGATGTATAATGACACAACACTATAGTATAAACAGTAAAACATTCCAAATATTTTCCAAATAGAAATTTTTACCTTGGTGACCTCTCCTGTAAAGGAATTCTTGAAAATATTGGATTCCACAGGTCCTGGGAAAATGTTGGAAATTGTTATACCTGGATAGTTGAAAAGTTCAGCTTCGAGGCTTTTAAAAAACCCCTAATAGGCAACAAAAGAAAGAAGGAGAAAAACGTATAAAATTAAATTAAACACAGACACATATCTCATGATTTAATAATCCTATGTTCTGACAAAACATGTTCTGAATTGAGTAAAGGAGTGTAATCATGCAAGCAAGCCCATGAGCCGTGGTTAACTATAAGACTAGAGGCGGCCTGGGTGGCCTAGAAGAGATATACTCCTTCTTGCCAGATGCCAATGGTCTAGTGGTTGGTTGCAGTGGCTCTTGCTATCAAGGCATCTATCACAGGCAAGCACTGGGCAAGGGGAAGACTAGCCTTGAAGGCTCCTAGACACCCTCTTCACACCAAGCTTCATTTCCCAACTCTGGACAAGTGTATGCTCTACAGAGAACCCCCCAGTGGGAATGAAACAGCATCTCGTCATTCCCCAGATAAGTCAAAAATGAGGATGCTTGGGGCAAAGGGCAGAAAAGTGGAACTGGTACTTTGCAATAGCTGTTATAAATTCAGTTTTCAATTCACATTACCATTTTAACTAGATTAATTACTTTACATGAATAATTGGTCTACTTTGGTTGATGACTACTGCATGACTATATAAAAACATGATGGGATTACCTTCTGAATGACTTTTAAAAGAAGAACCAAGGGGTTGGAGAGATGACTTAGCAGTTAAGAGCACTGGCTGCTGAGGGTTCAGTTCCCAACACCTACATGGTGGCTATCTGTAACTCCAGTTCCAGGGAATCTGATGCTCTCTTCTCACCTCCACAGGCATTGCATGACACAGGCAAACTTACATACACACAAGCAATACACTCATAAATATAAAATTTTAAAATAAAATAATTTTTAAAAAGAATAATCAAACTAGGGATGGATCTATTATTATTTTGCTAAATGGACATAGTGTCAAACTGCTCTCTAAATTTATAATTCTGTACCCACAGATTAGTGATGTGCTCAGACCTCATCAAACCACAAATTGGACCCAGTGGATTATTTTTTAAAAAAAGGATATATAGTTGGGAATGGTGGAGTTAGGGAGGGATGGGAGTTGAATACAATCAAAATACATTGTATGCATGCATGAAATTTAAAAAAATGAAAATATTGCATTTTTTAAAAGAATAGCTAGACCTTCTATATTTAAAAATACCGGACATTTATAAACCAACAGTGAGTACACAAAAATCTATTTTCCCTTATTTCTATTACTCAACTAGGAAACATCCCCAGACTACATTGTTTTAAGATGAAGGCAACTAATTAAGACGAAAAACCTAAATTGCTAACTCAAGGTATACCCATATCTAATTTAATGATGACAAAAGACTGCCTGTCAATAAATGTTACACACACACCTACAGCAAGCACAGGGAAGTGAGGATTCCTGGTGTCAGAGACTGAGGATGCCTGACTCAGAGATAGACACAAATTAAATGCTTGTTGAAGACATGAAGAACTCCCATACCATTAACCTCTGGTCCTCTGTAGCAAAGCAAAGGAGCACCAAAAGAGCAGACAATAAAACCCTCTCTTTGCATGAAATCACATCTAGTATAGTACACAAACTTCAGTAATAAGTTCACTTTGTTTTTCTATTTATTTGTTTGGTTTGGTTGGTTGGTTGAGTTTTTTGGTCTTTTTCAGACAGGGTCTCCCTGTAGCCCCAGCTGGCCTGGAAGTCACTATGTAGACCAGGCTGGCCTTGAACTCACAGAGATCCACCTGCCTTTACCTGTGGAGTGCTTTGATTAAAGGCATGTGTCACAAGCCTGGCTAGGAAATGTATTTTTAAAATAGAGCCTCCTGATCACATTGTTGAACTACTAAACTATTGCTATAACTAACAAAGCCTCAACTGTCACATTTTTTAAAATGTTCATTAGTATTATTTTTAACTACTTTATTAATTCTTTGAGAATTTCAAGCAGTGTATTTTGATCAAACTCCCCCCTTCTTCATCTTTTCCCAGATCCTCCACACCCACCCATCTTCTTGCTAAAATACTCTTGAGTGTGGAACCTGCCCTGGATCACAGTTGACCTATCCGGGATCACATCCTTAAAGAAACTTGATTTTTCGTCTCCCAGCAACTATCAAAAGCGAATAGCCCCTTAACCAGGGGTGAGATTTTGTGTCTATTTCCCCTTCATGCTGGGAATTTGCCTGGCTTGAATCTGAATAGGTCTTGTGCATGAGGTCAAAATTGTGAGTTTATATGTGCAACTACTCTTTTGCCTGGAAAACAGTTTCCTTGTATTAATCCTCCATCTTGGGCTCTTACAACTTTTGAAGATCTTCCTTGAAGATATCTGAGTCTTGATGGTTAGAAGGTAAAACAGATGTCCCATTTAGGGCTGAGCACTCCAAAGTTTCTTATTCTCTGGACCAGTTGGGAATCTCTGTGTTGCTTTCTACTGTAAGAAGAAGCTTCTCTATTATTACTTTAAAATTTTATTTATTATTTTACTCATCTTTATTGTATGTGTATGAGTGTTCTGCCCACACGTATGTAAGTACTATGTGCATACAAACCTGTGGAGGCCAGAAGAAGACACTGGATCCCCTGGAACTGGAGTTATGGACAGTTGTTAGCTACCACATGGATGTTGGGAACTGAGCCTGGGTCTTCTGCCAGACCAGCCAGTGCTCTTAACTGCTGAGCCATTCTCTGGCCACTCATTATTTATTATTATTATTATTATTATTATTAATTATTATTACTATTATTGTTAATTGTGTGTGCACATGCATGTGCATGAAAATGTGCCAATAAATGCTTGTGGAAGCCAGGGAAATTTTCAGTAGTCAGTACTCTCTCTCTGCACCATGAGTACTGGGATTGAAATCGGGTAACTCAAGCTTGCAAACCAAGCACTTTCATCTGCTGAGCAAGCTTACAGATCTGTCCACTAGTCATATTTTATCAAGAGATCAAATCCAGTAATAAAATAGAGGCTTGGAGGGAAGACCAGAGAGCTCTTCTGTTTTACTGAAAGCTACGTGTCTTTTCAGCCTGAGTGTCAACAGATGGGGTGTGCACTGTTCCACACCTGCCTGCCTGAGGTGTGCCTATCTCTACAGCAGGTGACCTACAGTCCCTTCATCAACTGTGCACTGTCTGCTCTGCATGGCGGAGAGGAGACTCTGCTGAAACTCAGATTCATTTCCCTGAGTCTATGGTGGCTTTCAACACTTCGTCTCCTTATTCCAATGGTAAAACATTCTACTAAAACTTACTTCCAAGCCAGGTATGGTGGCACATGCCTCTAATCCTAGGATTTTGGGAAGTGGAGACAGGAGGATCAAGAGTTCGAGGCCTGCCTTGGGCACATACAGAGTTTGAAGTCAGCATGAGCTAAATGAGACCTGACTCAAAAAAAGACGAAAAACTCCAAACAGCTCATCTTCTGTGGTATGAATTAAATTGTAAGTCTCCTTACTCATTCTCCTGATGGTCTTATCATTTTTTTATTTTCAGTCTTAACATTAAAAATTTATTCAGGGGACTGGAGAGATGGCTCAGTAATAAAACATTTTTAAAAATTCATTTGGTTCTGATATTCATCGCTCATATATAAACCACATCAAGTTTTTATTCTAGTCTTTGCCTGGATCAGATTTTTCTTCTCCCTATGAAAACAGAACAAATAGAGTCATTGTTTTCCTAGTAGTGATATGGAACCCATGGATAGTAAAGTAGTCACACATGTACAGTGAAACAAGTAAATAAACAGAAGTAAAAGGTGAAAAGAAAAAAGTCACAGAAATGGTGCAGAAAAGTCCATCCTGAAGCATATTTGGAGACAGGAGAGGTGAACTCACAGTTACCCCAAAAATGTGGTAGAGAGAAAGATGAAGCAAAAGATGACATACTTGGCTAGTCTATAACTCTTGTGAGCAATATCTTTCCTCCCAGGATTCATCGCAGTGTGCAACACATTGCAGGTGCTCAATAAATATTTGTTGAATGAGGAACAGGTATATATAGCACAAACATTTTTTTCCTCATCTACTGAAGGTATTCTCTCAAATTCTGTTCCTATGTTCTCACATTATCCCTTAGTTTCAATGAGTTCACCCACTGATGGACAAATCCTTCATAGACACTGCAGTCAATGCTAACAGAGTTGAATCCAAGCAGCCTTACCCGCAAAGCATGTTTGCTGGCACAATATGCACTGGCTAAGGGCACAGGTAAAATTCCCCCAAGGCTGTTAACAGTAACAATCTTCCCTTGCTTCCTTTTCATCATGTGAGGTAGAACACATTTGGTCAAGGACACTGTCCCTAAGTAGTTCCGCTCCATTAGCTCCTGGAAGACATCCAAGTTGGTTTCAAGAGCCATGGATTTGTGTGCTGTTCCACCATTGTTGACCAGAATGTCAATCTAGTTAGATAAAATAAAAAAGAGGACTCGTTGGAGATATCCTACAAATGAATTGATGGAATTCCTAGTGAAGACTGGATATAGTATTAAACTGACAAATCAATAGAACAACATTACATTTCTAAAGTCATCAATAGGAAGATAAAAACAGAACTCACCTATCCATTTCACATTTAAGTGACATTTCATAAAATGTAATAGAAGTTATAAATACCAAAGTAACAGTTAAGTTTTAGCTCTTTTGTCTACAAAGAACTGGTATTTTAAAGGCATGAAAAGTACTAATCATCTAAAGTCCAAGATCTAGAGATTAAGAGGCCCAAGTCATAGGCCTGACCCACTCACTGCATGGATCCCATGTGCCTCAATCTCTTTGAATGAGACCCCACGGATGGGAATCTCTTCGGTAGTTTTAACAAACCAGGAAAAAGCAATATAAGTCAGGTTGTATCAATATAAAACTTGCTACTTACCCTACCAAACTCCCGGAGAACAGCTTTGGTTGCCATGTCATGGGAACTTCTGTTGGTCAGGTCAAGTGGTAAAACTAGTATATCTTTTTCTTTCAAATTGCCATTCTCTAAATTAAGACACAGAAACACATCAGTGAAGAAGTCATTCCACAATTCAAGCAAGTTCTTTCCTACTCTAAGTTTATCCTCAAATCTTCCAAAAGTATTGGACAGTAAAATGATTTCTGAGTGGCCTTGTAAAGTTTCTCTTAGCGACTGGACAGAGGACTACTGACACTACAGACACATCGCAGACAAAACTCTGGCTGGTTTCAAAGGAGGTAGTATGGTACACTTCAGCATGAGTAGCTGCAGTGGAGCTTATAAAAAGACTCTTGCAAAAGAAAGAGTACTATACAAGATAAATATGCACACTGTAGAAAAATTCATTTAGAAGTAAACAGTTATATTTATTTGAAATAAGCTATTTTTATTTTTCCTTTCATCCGGAAACTGAACCCAGGGCCTCACACTGCCTAAACAAGCACTTTACCACTGTGTTAAATTCCTATCTCCAACTCCCAGTTGCTTTTTCACGCACTTCAAAATCATCATTATACTTCTATTAGTAAGCTTAGAGTCCCTCTATCAAAGGATGTATAACAATGAGACCCTAAAAAGCGGATTTTATTATTTTTCAGAATTAGAAATTGAACCTGTGGTCTTGCTCATGCTAGGCAAGTGCTCTACCATTGAGTTACATCCCCAGCCCTTAAGGAACAGATTTAGAAGGCACAGAGATTAGACCTCCCATATAGATATCCGTGTTCTGCTTCCTCCCCATCCCAGGCAGCAGAGAGCATTAACTGTTCCCAACTGTGCAGAATGGGGAGTCTATGTAGCATGAGACAGGTTGCCTGGCCCACACATTGCAAAGCTAAGTGGTTAGCAGCTAGTCCTGGCAAAAAGAAGAAAGGCTCCTAGAAGAAAGCTATGCCAGACATCTGCCACTTGACTTGTCTGTGGTCAGCACCAGCCTAAATGGCATGAAATGCTTCAAACCATTCCTGGCACTTGGCAGAGTAAATTTTAGGGTACCAGGAAGGAATTACTCTGATACTTCACTTGTTCCCCGTTGTGCTTTTACTCCTCTCTTTTCACCCTACTTTTAGTGGTATTCTGTTGATATTTTAGTTTTTAAAAAATAAACATTTGTGTTTTCACTTGTCTCCCTCTTCTTGCATTTTTCTGATTCTGTTTTTCTGCCTCATACCATCATACATTTACCTCTTCCTCTAGTCTCACTTTTAAAGCATACCTCTTCATTTGCTTCCTCTTTCTCTTTTCTCTTAACTTGCTCCTTTATTTTTCTCCCTTCCTTGCTATTCTTTTTTCTCACTCATTTATTATTTTTATGTTGAAACAATTATATTTAGCTTCATGCTATATCCCACTTTTGTTGCTGTTTTCTATTCTCTGGTGGCTGATGGTGTATTTGTTGCTTAAATATATTTTAGATAACAGTTTGGTGCTGCTGTTGTTTCAGTGGTTTGTTGTCTATGCTCTGAGTGATACTGGAGATGGAGCTCTCAGCAGCAGCTACAGAGAGAGAGAGAGAGAGAGAGAGAGAGAGAGAGAGAGAGGCCTAAAAACAAGATCCAATTGTTTATTTATAAGAAACATACCTCACTGTCAAAGAAACATACAAACTACCAGCAAAACAAAGTAAGTGAATATTTCAAGTAAATGACAGCCCAAATCAAACATTAGTCAAACATTTATATTTTTTTGGTTCAAAGCTATTTTATTCAACCAAAATTAGTCAGAAGAGATTAAGAGACTAAAAGGGATAATACATTACAAAGATATAACAACTGCAAATCTGTATGAGCTAAATATTGGGATACTTTATTTTATAAAGCAGACTTCCCTAGACATAAAAGAGCAAATAAGTCCAGATACAATAATAGTGGGTGACTTTAATTCCTAGCTCTCAATACACAGGTCATTCAGACAAAAAAAAAAAAAATGAAACTTCAGAGTTAAACCTAACATGGAATTCCCAGACGTCTACAGAATACCCCATGCAACAGCTGTGGAATACACATTCTTATTAGCAGCCGATGGTACGTTCTCTAAGATAGAGCACATTTTAGGCCATTAAACAATTCTTAACAACAACAACAACAACAAAAAACCCAACAACTTATTGTATCTTAACAGAACATAGTGGAATAAAATTAGAAATAAATAATAAGAGAAATGGATACTATACAAATAGATGGAGACTGAGCTACGCACTCTTTAATAGTCAATGAGTTATCAAAATCAAGGAAGAGCTGGATTTGGTGGCACATGCCTTTAATCCCAGTACCAGGAAGTCAGAGACAGGCAGATCTCTGTGAGTTCCAGGCCAGCCTGGTTTAAATAGCCAGTTCCAGGCCAGCTGGGGTTACATAATGAAATCCTGTGTCAATGAAAACAACAAAAAGGTCAGATAGGAAAAAAATTAAATTATCAAAATCAAATAAAATTGGAAGCACATCCTATCAGTACTTTTGGGATGCAACAAAAGCAGCTTTAGAAAGAAATGTACAGCTATGAATCTTAAGATATCAGAGAAATCTCAAATACTTAACTCAATGTTGCACTTCCAGATTTCAGAAAACAAGAAAAAGTCAACCTCAATCAATAGACAGAAAAAGTAATAATGGTCAGAGTGAAAATTAACAATACCAAGAATCAATAAGGTCAAAATAGTTTTCTTGAAAATGGCATCAACAAAACTTCAGTCAAATTAACACAAAGAGAGCAAAGACCCAAACTAATAAAACTGGGGATGAAAGAGGAGACATTACATTATATACCAATGAAATCCAGAGGATCATTAGGAAATCCTTTGAAAACTTATGTCCCCAAAAGACGGAGTATCTAGAGAAATAAATAAATTATTTTACATATGTCCTATCAATATTAAGAGTATATAAATAACTTAAATAGATCTATAATGAACGACTTGATTATAGCAATAACAGTCCCCAAAAAAGAAAAACCAAGGACCAGATGAATCACTGATAAATTCTACCAGACCTTAAATAACAAATCATATCAATGTTCCTGAAGCTGTTTCATTAAATAGAAGGAAAAGGAAGACTTTCAAATCCATTCTACAAAGTCAGTATCACCCTGTTACCAAAAGCAGGTAAAAACACACACACACAAAAGAAAACTAAACACCAATTGTCAATAAGATACTTGCAAACAAAGTTTTAAAACACATTTAAAAGGTCATTCATCTTGATCATGTCAGTTTCAGTACAAAGAGCAAGAATAATTTAGTATAGAAATCCATCTCACCTTCAAGGACAGGCACTACCTTAAGGTAAAATGATGGAAAAGAATATTCCAAGTAAATGGCACTAAGAAACAAACAGGGGTTGCAATTCTAATGTCTGAGAAAATAGACTTCAAAGTGAAACTAATCAGAAGAGATAAGGAGGGCCACTTCATTCTGATCAAAGGAACAGTTAACCAAGAAGATATTATAATCCTTAACATATATGCACCAAACACTGGTGCACCCAAATTCATAAAAACAACACTACAGGACTTTAGGATACAGATTAACCCCAACTCAGTAACAGTAGGGGACTTCAATACCGCACTGTCTCCATTAGACAGGTCAACTATACAAAGAATAAACAGAGACATCTGAATTAAATGATACCATACATCAAATGGTCTTAACAGACATCTTTCAATGCACCAAACACTGGTGCACCCAAATTCATAAAAACAACACTACAGGACTTTAGGATACAGATTAACCCCAACTCAGTAACAGTAGGGGACTTCAATACCGCACTGTCTCCATTAGACAGGTCAACTATACAAAGAATAAACAGAGACATCTGAATTAAATGATACCATACATCAAATGGTCTTAACAGACATCTTTCAATTATTCCACCCAAACAGCAAAGAATATACTTTCTACTCAGCACCCCATGGAACTTTCTAAAAATTGACCACATACTGGGCCACAAAACAAACCTCAACAAATACAAAAATATTGAAATAATTCCATGCATTCTATCAGACCACAAAGGAATAAAGCTCAAAATCAACACTGGATGAAACCCTAGTAACTACATGAACACATGGAGATAAACAACACACTCCTGAATGATGAATGGGCCAAAGGAGAAATTAAGAAAGAAATAAAATTATTCCTGGAACT